TGTATCAACTGCAGTTGTAGTAGTGCTTTTTTTGTTGCATTAATGTAAGCAGATATCTTTGCTAAAGAGGTCAGAGAGAGCATCCATAACCTGTTAAACCAACCTTACAAGGATGTGAGCTATTTGTTGGTTGAAGAGGCGGACTCTGAAAAGAAGCCCAGTCCATTGTGAGGCCACTATCAGGGACAGTGACGTACAGGAAGTGACCTGTCATAAGAACAATAATAAAAGGACAATTTGCATATTGAACTGGGAGATAGTGGGTAGAATCAAACCAGACTTTTGCAGTGAAAATCAGAAATAAAAAAAGATCACCTGATGCTGAGTTGGAGTGATCTCTGCCTGGGCCTTTCAGGGGATCGGTTCTTGAGATATTCTCTTGGTTTGTTCTGATCCATTTCAGTTTAGAAAATGATCTCAGATCCCAATTACACAAACCCTCCTCAAAGTCACAGCGGTTGTAACCATCTGGAGAAAATGTTTCACTATTAAATTGCAAATCTGGACCAGATGGGTGGGGGGATCCTCGGTTTGATTGATTTATTATAGACATTTGCAGTGCACTAAATGAAGAAAATCATGGTTTCATCTTATATAGCTTTAGCACAAGGAATAAACACCCTTGTTTCATTTTTCAAAATCAGGCTGTAGCAGCATTTTAGTGGAATTTCCATTGATTGAGAGAAAACTCAAAACTTCTGTGATTTTCAATTTGTTTTTTTTAACGTTTACTGCTTTGGTCTCATGTCTTACCACAGGACTCCTCATCAGTGCCGTCGCCACAGTCATCAGTGCCGTCACAGACCTGCCGCTGCTCCACGCAGCCCCCCCTACGACAGGTCACCATCTCTGCAGAACAGTTGATCCCAGGGGGTGGCGCTATTGGGTCAAACAAACAAATCCATTTTGAATCAAAGTACTTACTCATATTTTGCAGTCTACATTAATTAAAGATCATTTAAGTCAATCAGGAGCTGGTGAGGCATTAAACTTACAGGGCAGAGCACAGTCTAGAAACTCCAGCTGGTCTATAGCTACATCGCCTTTCCGTCCCTCTGACCGTTCTGTGTACAGATGGATCCGAAAAGGGGAGGAAATGCGACCCAGAAAAATGTCAGCTTCCCTCCAGCTACGGATACTGGAGGCCTCAGGACGCCACACCACAGCCTCCTCAGAGCCCTGCTGATGGATAGAAGCCCACAGAGGAGTAGATCCTAAACCTGTGTGACCTGCAGGTAAAGATAGATATATTTCAAGAGAACTAATATATCACATTAGTCAAGCTCATATCTAATTACAGTATATGCTGATGATAGAGTTATAATTTTGTATTATTGCCTAAATAAAAGTGAATGAGTCAGTCCATAATAATAAAGAGCTTAGTCAGAATTGCCTGTGTTAATTCTCCATCAGCGGGGTCATGGTGACAACAAACTGGCTTAATTTGGAGGGCAACTGGACCTTCGCTCAGTTTTTGAAGATGTTTCAGCAACTAACTAAGAGTCTTTGGAAATTCTTGCTCAGGATAGAGCCAAGGTAATTTAAAGAGACATCTCAATAGGTGGCGAAACATCTTCGAAAAGTTAGTGAAAGTCCAGTCGTCTTGTAATTTAAGCCTGTTTGTGGTTATGAGTCTGAATTAAAATAATTAGTAATTAATTAATTGAAATAATGGATAAAAGCAATGACTATAAGGTTCATTCAATTCAATTCATTTCATTTATATAGCGGCATTTCACAACACGCCATCTCAAGGTGCTTTACATAGACAAGGTTAGTTAGGTAGGATAGTCAGTTTGTTGGTTGGTCCGATGCACAGATGGATGGTTGGATGAAGGGATGAATGGATGGATGCATTGATGGATGGGTGGATGAATGGATGGATGGATGGATGGATGGATGGATGGATGGATGGATGGATGGATGGATGGATGGACGGACGGATGGATGGATGGATGAATGGATGGATGGATGGATGGATGGATGGATGGATGGATGGATGAATCCATGCATGGATAGATGAATGGGTAGGTGGCAGTATAATAAAAAAATGTGCTCTCGCATGAAGCCAACAAATGTGAAGGCGGCTTTAGCTACTGTTTTCTAACCATTAGAACAGTCACTTCAGCTTGGAGCCGTTACCTGAGTCCCACAAGAAGTATCTGAGACGCAGACGACAGGTTGGTGAAGAGTGTTTTATCTCCGGAGAGATTATATTCGACCTCTGAAGAAAAGCTGTCCCCACTGCACTCACTGACATGAACCAACCTATATGACAGGAGACAGTAAAGGCTTTAATTTAAGCTATAAAGTAGTTTAGTTTAGTACAGGATCACTTTTATCTTAGCTGGAAAAGTTAGCCTCTTTAATACATGCCACTGGCAGAGTGTTTATGGTTTCATTATCATCAAACAACCTTTTGCAAGATAGAAGTTTACAGTAACACCTTCTCTAACAGTACATCAACAACTATGTAATAACATAGTAATAACATAGCAAGTTACACTTTTACCAGGTAACAAGAAAAACTATGGAAGAAAAACAGTCTAATTGGAATCTGCCTTTTTTTTATACACCGGATTTTAAACACTGAATGTTTTTAACACGTAATTTTACACATTGAATTCCTTACACTGAATTTATATCTGGTAAAAAATTTGCCTGCAAAAGTTTCAGCTGTAAAAAAATCAGCTGCAAAAAAATCAGCTGTAAAAAATTTAGTTGCAAAAAATTCAGCTGTAAAAAAAATTTCCCGGCTGAATGAAGCTGAATGACACGGAAGATGATTAGGGCCACTGAAAAAAAAAATTAAAAAAGTTAACTGATTTTTAAATTTTATTTCAGTTTACATGGGAAAA